GTTACACACTACGACTACGACTACGAGGGACGAACGGGTGCCGCTTTAAGGAGCTTCGCCCCTAAAATACCCAGAAGCATTCTATAGTATACGCAGTTCCTACCTTATGACCAATATATGTTGCATCATTAAGAGCCAGGTGTGGTTTTATGCATTGCAGGATATTTCTATCATGGAGAAAATCCGAAAACCCTTTACATAGGGCTCTATTGTAGTCTTATGACCTAAACCTGACGCATCATGAAGTTTTGAAAGTGATTATAAGTTGATGAGAGCTGTAAGTTATGAAGTGTATATGTACTGAATGTAGCAGGATATTCACAATAATAATGAATTTAGTAGTGTAAGTATAGCAACCTGGTGATTAATACACCTTGGTTTTTATAAACCTGATTTATAAACATGATTAGGGGGCGACCACCCCTTAGTCACCAAAGAGAGGGGAGACTCAATGTCAGCTCCATAGATTATCATAATAGGGAGAGGGCGCTAAGGCAGCCCCTACTTTGACATAATAGGGAGGGGGTACTGCAGCGAACATTCCACCCCCCCCCCCCGCCACTTTAAGGAGAACCCGGTGCATGCCTATGACAGATGTACAGTATTCTATTAGACGTGAGTATTCGTTCGCGGGAGTGGCGCACGCACTGATGTTGATTTCTGGCGCATACAGCTGTAGTTGCATTGCTCACTGCAATGTCAATTACTCCTAAAATGATCACAACTGTGGAGGGTGAAACACTATCAATATTTTAACGCGCCATCATATCTCCGGCATTGTACGAACCCGCTCCAGTTCAGATCGCGCTGTTCTGGGCTCAACTAGGACAGTTTTAAGTCAAAAGTTGAAGCAACACTGTGCATCGGCCTTGGACGCGTGGGTAGAGTGTTCTAGTACACTGTAGCGTGGGCGTCAACGCGGTTGACGCGTGCCAGTGGTTGCGCGCCCTTTTCCTCCACAGGCGCAACTAGACGCCTTTGACGCGTAGGCGCGTGCGTACGCGTGCCAGTTCATGGTTGGCACTTGAGACGAGCTGCGCCGGCGTTGGGAGAGCGACAGTGCGGAGAGGACAGGCTACGCGCCGCCACAGTGCGCACCAATGTGTGGTCGCTTATGACGTCATGCACTAAGGTATGAGGCGAGGGCGTCCACCGATACCACAGATGGAAATAAAGCTTCAGAAGAATGGCTAGTTGGGCAAGTTGGTACTGATCCATAATGTACTGCGAAAAAAAACGGACGGATATATTGCCTCGGTCTTGCAATAAAACTTCAGTTGATAGTCTGCTTGTCTGTCCCTTTTCTCTAGTTCGTTTGTTGGTTCGTTTTTTGCGCAGTACATTATGGAAATGAAGTGCTGCGTGAATGGCCTGCCGTGGATGTTGTGGTACATGCCAGCGCACTTCCTTCCGCAGTCTCAGTGGTTGGCGAGGCAGTCGGTCCTAAAATTGTCGGAAAATCAAAACACTTAGGGCAATATTCACAAACGCACCTCGAATTGAAACTCGACCTCAAGAGATCCTTGAGTTGTTTTTAGTGTTGTCATTCCTGCAACGTGAAAAGTCTCAAGGATCATTTGAGGTAGAGTTTCGATTTGATTGATTGATATGTAAGGTTTAACGTCCCAAAACCACCATATGATTATGAGAGACGCCGTAGTGGAGGGCTCCGGAAATTTCGACCTCCTGGGGTTCTTTAACGTGCAATAGGGTTTCGAGTATAGGAGCGTTTGTGAATACGAGTCTGAAACGGCTACACTCAGAATTCACATTAGGCAGTACCGTAATCAATATATATTTTCTTCAAGTATGAAGTCACCAGCCTATGCAGTCTCGTAGCGACGAAAAATATGATTGCTTTAGCAGATACTACAGAAAGAACGGTATCAATTGTTTTCAGTGTCAGTTAATGCAAATGAAATCTGCGGGAACCCGCAAGGGGGCGGAAGGGTTAGGAAGGGATTATAAACAACCACTGGTTGGTAGCACTGAGCCACAGGGAAATCCGAACGAATTTCTCAAAAGAAAAAATTCTAAAATGCTGATCAATTCGTTCTGGTCCGGGGTTTGAACCCGGGACCAACACAGACAGCTGATAACGTACAAAGAGCGGTGGGTTATCACCACTTTGTATAGTTTGGCGACCGTGGAGATACAGCAACATCCTCATGACACACTAAGTGTTACTTTATTTAGCCAAATAACTTAGAAAAGACTGCTGTGAAATCAGTGAATTATGACGTTGATAATTAAGTTTCAGTCAAAATTTATATGCAGTAACGAACGTCTGCTCTAATGACAAGTATAGGAAACTTCTTCATATGGAGCCGCTGTCTACTGGTATCGACGAGGGCCCGTAAAGGGTGCACCATTCTGCTCAACTTCATTATACAGTAATGCCACAGACGCCTAACATTGCAGAAGGCAAGATTAGTGGCGGGGAGCTCTTGCTTACGGCTCTTGGTGAATAGCATCTCGATATGAAGCAATTTTTTGTGGGAAAAAGAAATTAAGTTCATATTATTCTGTCACTTAATTGACTCTACATGTTCTGGAGGAAAAATTTTCCCATACGCTTAACAATTGTGTAGTAATTGTTCAAGGTTTCACGTCCCCAAAGCACCATATGAATATGAGAGACTGGAGGGATCCGGAAATTTCGAGCTCATGGGGTTCCTCAACGTGGAACTGAATCTAAGCAGCACAGAGCCTCAAGCATTTTCACCAAGATGTGGCCACCGCGGCCGGGATTCGATCCCGCGAAGTCAGCAGCCGAGTGCCGAACACACCTCCGCTTTGTATTCTTATGATTGCTTTTCCTTTAACAGCACCTTTCCAGTAGGCACTGGTAAAAATAAATGGCGCTATCATCCACAACAAGTAGCGATAAATACGATTGTGTCATTTGTAGCATCAACACATGCAATATGACGCCAGTGTACCAAGTCGGTGCATATCTAGCGTGCAATCCGCTTTTTCCTTTGGGGCTGCAGATAACAAAGCGTCCAGAGCTCACCTCTAAGCCTGGAACAATGACGCTTTGAAAAGCGCGTAATATTTCGTGGTTGCGTGCTAGTGCGATCGTAGCTTGCACACTCGTCCAAACGCCTGGCAAACAACGACTATGTAAGCGAAGTGCGTCTCGGACTCGCTCTCTGGAATTCGTGCCGACCGGTTGTGCCCCCGTGATCTCCGACGACAGCGCAGCTCTGTCCGACTGGCTCGCCCTACGCCACCTCCTGCAGCCGACAAAAGCTCTCGCTGAGTGGTGCCTGTCCTCGGTCGGACTCCTGCAACCGTGTCCATTTTTCCTATCTTTTCCTTGCCTCTAGGAGTCGCTGTCCCTGCGCCACGCTCTCTCCTTCCCCCTCTCTATCTTTATACCTTTAATCCTATCCTTTCAATTCCTCCGTACCCCCATCCCTCGTGAGCTACTGTTGAGGTGTCGCACTCTGATGCAGACAGTTACGGGGCCCACTTTTATCTTCTTTTTTTCTTTTAAGTATCACATAAAAAAGAAGTGCGTCTCGTACATCTATTAAACGTCTGGTCCAGTTTGCATAACCACTGCAGGGGTGTCGACAGGTCGACGAAGCTTCCTTGTACGGTCCGCAACAGATTACACTATCTTCATAGGTAGGTACAAATTAAGCCCCACTCAGCAAGAAAGAAGGCACGATACATTCGCTATTATTGTGCAGCTTAATTTTGCACTTGCTATGAAGATAAGTCTGTACCAACTAGCCTGATCTACATGTTTATTAAGACTACACCCCCCCCCCCCCCCACCACCACCACCAAAGGTATTTCAATTGGCCGCAGCGAACAACAGCAAGTGCCATAATTTGTATCTGACAATTTCTCATGCTTAATATCACGTAACACTTAGACATTTCTAATCAAAGTATTAAAAGCCACTACTCTGAAGGAGCGACGGTAAATTTTAAAACACGACGTTAAACAATTTCATTGAACTACAAAAAGTTGGTTAGCAGACTTTAATTTAAGTAGTCAGCACTTCATTCGTCAAGAAGATTGATTTGCTCACCAAATAGGCCCCGCCGCGGTGGTCTAGTGGCTAAGGTACTTGGCTGCTGACCCGCAGGTCGCGGGTTCAAATCCCGGCTGCGGCGGCTGCATTTCCGATGGAGGCGGAAATGTCGTAGGCCCGTGTGCTCAGATTTGGGTGCACGTTAAAGAACCCCAGGTGGTCAAAATTTCCGGAGCCCTCCACTACGGCGTCTCTCATAATCATATGGTGGTTTTGGGACGTTAAACCCCACAAATCAATCAATCACCAAATAGAAAAATTGCTCGCGAACAATACCCTAGTGCATAATGAATTTTTTGACCCCTTACGAAGGTCACTTGTAAGTTTGATGGGAAAGCTTGCGATGATGTGGAAGTCGGATTTTAAGTTTGTGAAATAACGTCCCATCGGACAGCTTGAGATAAGTGCATGTTCAAAGGCATCTAAATATTTTATGTAGTTCACCTAAGCAATTCACCGGGCACGACACCATTCCCAGGATAGAAAGCTTACGACCATTGCCTTTCCAGGTTTGTTCCCTGAAAGGTGCTACTTGTGTTAAATTCAATAATTAGTTTGTTGGCGGTGTCGTGCCCACGAGACCTAGAAGATGTGTTTAAGCGATTTATAGTTTGTGCATCGGAAATGTGTGATGCCTTGTCTGCCTTAACACTTATGTTGTCTGGCAATGTTGAGCCAAATCCGGGACCAATGACTAAAGCTCAAAAAAAGGCATTTTCTGCTGCTCTAGACACAATTAAAAATTGTAAGAGGCACAAGCAGGCTTGCTTTCCGAGCTAACTAGGGCAAAAGCTGGTCATGCTGCTGCTCAGAAAAGGCTTGATAAGCTAGCAGAAAGGCAGGAAACACTTCTCGCAGAGCTTAATATTTCGAAAATGAAACAGGAAGCCGTTGAAGCCGAAATTAAGTTGCTGAACGCTAACATTGCTTCACTGTCACTGGCCTCTACGTCTGGAAGCAGCTAGGGTGATGCCGAAGCTAGTGCTAACGCCCCTCGCAGTGTATCTGATCAGCTTGGCCACTATCTCTTCTCGGTTCGAAGACACTGAGAACAGAATGCGACGCTCGAACTTGCTTTTCTTTAACATTCCGGATGTCGAAAAAGAAGACTGGGCTTTGTCCGAGCAGAAAATTGTGGAATTCTGTTCACAAAAGCTTGACATTAACTTATCCAGCACGAATTTCGAAAGAGTGCACAGGTTAGGCAAACATGCTGACAGCAAAAAGAGGCCTATTATTGCGAAAATGACCTTCTATAAGGACAAAGAGCGCATCTTGTCCGCTGCAAGAAAGCTTAAGGGGTCCGAGTTTTCTATTCGGGAAGACTTCTCTCCTGCTACGCGAGAGGCAAGAAGAAACCTTATCGAATTCGCCAAGGCCAGAAAGAAATTATTTAAGCTATCTGTTGACAGATTGCGCATAGATGATGTAACATACGTGTACGACCACGCAACAAGCACGGTAGTGCGACTAGGCAGATAGCTAAGGCGTGGTACTCGCACCTGTGAATTCAAGCAGGCACCCGAGCCTCAGAATTTACCGTCACTCATCATATCATTTACTAATATTCACAGCCTTCTGCGAAAGCTCGACCAGGTCTGTTCCTTCGTTGATGACACGGGTTCTGACATAATCATCTTCACTGAGAGATGGCTTCATGCAGATATTTCAGACAATGAAATTAGTCCCCTACAATATACCTATACCATTTACCGTTGCGATCGCGTTAACAGAAGGGGTTGAGGCGCAATTATAGGCATTAAAAAGGCAATAACCTCTTATCTAATGCCGCCTGCTACAAATATAGAAATTGTATGGGTTGTTTGCAGAACTCGATTTGAAAAATTATTGATTGGTTGCTGCTATCACCCTCCAGACACTAATCCATCATTTCTAAGCGACTTACGAAGTACCGTAACTCATGCTGTTAAGCCGTGTCCAACTGAGCTCGTTTATTTATTTGGCGACTTTAATTTTCCTTCAATAAACTGGAAGCTGTTTTCATCGAATTGCCATGTCTCCACTGCGTTCATTGCCGTAACATTGGATTTTAACCTAGATCATAAGCCAACCCACTCGTGACTCGAATATACTCGACTTGTTATGAACAACGGCACCAAATACTATATCAAATATAACATACATAGATGACTTCAGCGACCACCGGTTAATTCAAATGATTCTTAACGTCCCATTTCGTCTCGCTGGAGCTAAAACAAAAACAATTGGCGATTATAATAGAGGTAATTACATTGTTATAAATGATGAATTATGCACGTTCTTTGAGAGCGTACTTTTACCATCCTTTCATAATCGATCCGTAGAAAACAACTGGACACTCTTCAAAAACAAGTTAGCTTCATTAGTTAGTGAACATATTCCTACAATCAAAATGACAAATTATAAACAAAATCCATGGTTCAATAAATCACTTAACAGATTAAGAAATGAAAAAAAATAGATTGTATGCGGTGGCTAAACGCGCGCAAACTGCTGCTCTGTGGCAAAGGTATAGAGACTTCTTGAATAGCTACTGCTCCGCGATACGCGCCGCCCGTGATGAGTATTTTTCTCATAATCTACCTTCACTGTTCACCACAAACGCTAAGAAGTTTTGGAAACAAGTGTGCCCAGAACGTCACGATAACAAAATAACGTTGCAAAATGACGAACACATTCCCATTCCAGATCAAGACTGTCCTAACGCTTTCAATACTTTCTTTACACCAGTTTACACTACTGAAGATCATACAAACGTTCCCGATGTAGCCGATCTTGACTACCCCTTTTTGCAGCCCATTGAAATTATTGTTGACGGAATCACATCTATAATAAATAATCTTAAACTGTCCACGTCAGCGGGCGTTGACGAGATTAACACTAAGATACTAAAAAGTACAGCCTCACCCTCGAGTAAAATATGTCATCTTTCAGCAATCACTATCAACAGGACAGCTTCCACATGAATGGAAAATTGCAAAGGTCATCCCCGTGTTTAAAAGCGGCAATAAAAACTCACCTCAAAATTACAGACCCATTTCTCTGACATCTATCTGCTGTAAGATGCTAGAGCATATAATCGACTCTCATATTTACAGTCACTTAGAGTAGAATGACTTTTTCTTCCCAAACCAACATGGATTTAGAAAGGCCCTATCATGCGAAACACAGCTTTTCGAATTCACGACTGACCTACATCATCACTTAGATCTAAACTTGCAAATTGACTGTCTTTTTCTGGATTATTCCAAAGCTTTCGATCGTGTTGCTCACTGCCGCTTAATCTCTAAACTATCTTCTTTGTGTATAGATTCATCAACTCTGTCGTGGATACGGAACTTTCTTACTAACCGGCAGCAATTCACCATTGTTAATGATTTTTCATCCCCAGTTTCATACGTTTGTTCTGGTGTGCCGCAAGGAAGTGTTCTCGGTCCACTGCTTTTTTTTTATTTACATTAATGACTTACCAAGTAATTTATCCTCACAAGTGCACATTTTCGCTGACGACTGTATAATTTACCGAGCAATAACTAGTACTTGTGATCACATAACAATCCAAAATGACCTTGACCTCATCAGCAATTGGTGTAATAGTTGGCTAATGTCCCTTAATTCAAGTAAATGTAAAGTGATGTCCTTCTCTCGCAAGCATTCTAACTCCGAGTTTTCTTACTTTATTAATGGCAATCCCGTATCTAGTGTTGACTCTTTTAAATATTTAGGTGTAAACTTCACATCAAACCTTTTTTGGATTACCCACATCACCAACATCTGCAGTGACGCCTCACGATCATTAAGCTATATCCGCCGCAATCTACATAAGGCGCCCACAAATATACGTGCTCTAGCTTACATAACATTTGTTCGCCCTCAGCTAGAATTCGCTTCTGCAGTTTGGTTCCCTCATTACAGCTATTTAACTAACATGCTGGAATCGATTCAGAATAGAGCCGCTAGATTCATCTCACAAAACTACGATCATAGCGCAAGCATAACACAAATTAAAAAAAAAAAACTTATCACTTTCCATTTTGAGCTGCCGACGTGATCTAAACCTCCTTTCATTATTTCATAAATACGTACATGAGACAAGGCCATTATATATGACATTGCAAACATCTGCATTCACATCAAAGAGACTAAATAATCATCGTTCATTCACGCGCATATATGGTAAAACTTACATTTTTAACTCAGCTGCACCCCCCCCCCCCTCCCCGTGTCATCCGCATGTGGAACAGCCTTCCTAACGAAATCGTAGCTGAACCCAATCGGGGAAAATTCCGGCACCTTCTACTCACCCATTTGCAGGATTAACTGCTCGTTTTATTCATATCTAAATCGACACCTACGCGTTTATTCACTACTAGTGTCTCGTTTTTTTTCTCTTACTTTATCTTTTTTTGTTTGATGGTTTGAATACTAACATGCCATTCAGTTCTGTTGTGTTTTATTCAGTGATGTTTTATTTTGAATAATGGAAAGTCTTTTCACAATTTGTGCTTGTTTTTTTTTAACTTGTTTTTCGTCATTATCTCACGCGTATACTCATCTGATGTTCATTGCCATTTATTCCTATTAAAATTATTATTAATATTTTCTCATTTTTATTTTTGTTAGGACTTTTATAATAACTTACAATTAGTTCATGTTATTGTTTGTATGGAAATTGTACGAATTCTTGTATGTAATTCTTTTATGCTCCCCTTACACAATGCCCTGTTGGGTCTGTAAGGTATTTTGAATAAATAAATTACACCATTTGCGTTTATGTACCGATTGACCGATACCTCCATGAAGTTTTCGACCCAGTGGTGGCCTTCAAGTCTACAGCTGATTTACAAGCAGAGTTCGCTAACGCACAAGAAGAATTAATGTACTCACTGACCGGCTTTATTTGATGTACAGCTGTAAAACATTTTGTAACAAATATTGCGATAATGTTCTGTATTTGCAGCGCAAAATAGCTTCATCCCTATTGGATGCGAAGCAGCTCTTTCACCAGCCTGTGCAACGCTCCCTTTCCGTCAGCACCGCTTTCCTCGCCGCAGGTGTTGGAGTGGTGCCAAGTAACTCACGCCATCCTGGTAGTGTGCGGTGATGTCTCCCTTCCACGCCTGCCACGGGGCTCGCCGCGTGTCAGCTCTCTCTCTCTTCACCCTCTCCACCACTCGCAACGCTCGAGCCCACTCCTCACCCTCATCACCCAGGCCGTAGCGGCCAGGGACTACAGGCAGGCTCGTATCAAGAAGCTACTCGCCTCGATCAACCCGGACCAGAAGGTGGCCAACGGGCGGGGACACAGGCGTCTTCCCGAGGCAGGCCTTACCAGGAGGGAACGAGCTGACCTGCTGCGGCTGCAAACCGGATGCGTGTGGACCGCGGCCCGCCGCTACCTCAAGGGATGCTGCGCCTCCCCAGCCTGCAGCCGCTGCGGCAACCCCGAGACCCTCGAGCACCTCCTCTGTGCCTGCCCTGCCTTGGCACAGGAACGCTCGAGGGTCACCGCGGCCTACCGAAGATATGGCTTTCCTGCCACCACCCTGGAGCACCTGCTCTTCTCGTCTCGTCCCCATCTACCAGCGCTCCGGAGCCTGGTGGAGTACCTGGACGAAACGGGAATTGTGGCCTACCGCTGAGAACGGCATTCTTGCCACACCCATCCTTGCTGCTGGACTGCTGTTCGTGCTGAAAACGAATGCGCCACTGCTTACTTAATCTTTTTCTCCTCTATCCAATTTTCTCCTATTTCCCTTCCCCGCCAGCACTGCGCCGTGACTCCTACCGGGTTCCATAAATGAGGTGCCTTCTTCCTCTTCTAACCACTACCACCACCACCACTCCTCACGTGGGCATCGTCTCAACCGCGCCACCTCTCTCCATCGATCGGCGAGAAGAAACCGCACGCCGGCGGTTTCTTCTCGCCGACCGAGCATATACCGGCGCCGAAAATACATGGACAGCGCCTGCTGCTTGCCGCGTGATCGCGCTGACGGGCGGGACGCCGTCGCGACATGCTTCCCGCTAGTGTGTGCGTACCTTTCCCGGCTGTCGCCGGTGTGGCGAGGCTTAGCGAAGCCGATCG